CTGAAAACCCAAACTAGAACCGCATTGTCCAACCTCTTCATTAGACTGCATTATAAGACACCTCAGCTAGCCTAGCCCATGTGGAAAAATCCCCTAGAAGGAAATTTCCAGCATTTCATTTTTTAACACCTAAAATTTGCTCTGATTAAGAAAAGAATTGTGTTTGTTACAGGAAATTCAAACATAAGAGAAATTAATAAGGTAGAAAGCGAATATCTCCTGTGGTCCCAAATCTCTTAACCACTAGGTGCATAGCCCTCTAGGTTTTCTGCATATCCATATGCTAACATGTCTGGTTGTTATTACTTTGCAAAACAGCATCTACAAATAGTTCTGATTAACGGTTCAACTTCTGAACTTTTTACTTCAACAGTGTGAAAGTGATATGCATTCAGTATGCTCTTTATCTCCTTGACTTCCATCCAGATGCACTTTTGACTTACAATATTTTCAAATTACGATGGGTTTATTGGGACATAACATGAAGGTAAGTCAAGGAGCGTCTGTACAGCCTTTCACAATTTGCACTGGTTGGGGGCTAGGGGAGGGAGAGCATTAGAAGAAATACCTAATATAGAGGACGGGTTGATGGGTGCAGCAAACCACCCTGGCATGTGTATATCTATGTAACGAACCAGCACGTTCTGCACAGCTATCCCAGAACTTAAAGTATAATAAAAAAAAATACACACTAGGTATTATTATCTATGTCCACACAGGTAGATATACTTCATTTAATTACCATTTCCATAGAGTTTCATTCTATAAAAATTCTATAAATCTTTCCACACAAATGGGCTTTCATATTCCCAGTTTTCCATGATCACAACAGAATTTTTACACTGTTTAGCTTTACATAACTAAAGGTTTGTGAAGGTGCATTATTTGAGTTTCATTTTAAATTATTTGCATTATCTATTGAGTATTTTGGGGAAAGGGTTATAAAATGGGATTCCAGGGACTGAACCTAGAATTTTATACCTTAGGTATTAAGGGTTTGAGTCATTTTCTGCTAAGTAGGGCTTTGCCCAAAGTGGCAAGGAGTTCATAAGCTCTATTAATCCTCTTTCCCTTATTAACCTTGTGATCCTATGTGGAAGTCAACTGAAGACGGGGCAGGACAAGGTTCAGTGCAGGGGGTGGGCAGTGATGGCTGCTAACTTGTAGGACTGACCCAGTCACTGGCCATATCAATGGTTCCTCCCTTATAGATCTTGTGGTCTCTGTTTTTACAAAGGTCTCCTATAAACACAGAGAGAGTATCCAGTAATATTCTAGATTCTGTGGAGGATATAAGATGTTCAAATATAGCCTAACCTCTTTTTCTATTATAGAAAAGTAAGCTTTTGTTGTCTTTAAGAACTTCTGTTGTACAGGAACCTCCTTTTATCAAACTTTTTAAAAAGAAAACAATGACAAAAAGGTAAGGACATAAAAGCTATAAGCTTCAGCCAATGTTTGCATTACTGCCAACTGAATTTGTTTGGCCAGTGGATCAAATGCTTTTGCCAAGGTGAATTCACCCTGTCAGACATACCCTGGTCTTAGAGACAGCTTAAGAGCTGCTGTACAATTCCTGTCAAGGCTACTGTAACAAAAATGTTCTTGGCTTGCCAATGTTGTCTGCATTTGTTTGGTTAAAGGGCCCATAGAGCCCCTAGGAGGCAGCAGGAGAGGTCTCTCAGGCAAGGTTGAAGGGCTAAGAAAGCAAACAGTGCACAAATGCCAATAAATGGAGACCAGGAATTGGATAGACTATACCCATCAGTGACTTACAGACAGCCTCATTTTCTTTAAACAGCTCTTTGGAAATAGTGGGAAGCATCAAAAGTATGCTTTTTAAAAAAATAAACCAGTATTTTTTTCTTTTAATTTTTTCTTTCCTAATTGACCCAGAAAATCCAGTTATTTACTTCCTAAATTTTTCAATTCATGTATTTATGAAGTCAAACAGTTGAGATATAGACAAGGTGAAAAGCTACACCTAACAAGGTGGTTCTCAGACCTTACCATATCAAGACCCACCCAAGAAGCTCACCAACGTGGCAGACTCTTTGGTCCCTATGCCAGAATTCTGATTCAGTGCATCTAGGACAGAGCTCAGGAATCTGCATTTTAATAACTCCAAGTGATTCTCATAGGAGGAGTAAAGAGAATACACCTTGAAAAAGCTTGCAGGCTTGCAAGACTCCTTTTTCTATTCCTAGTTTGTTAGTGAGTTTCAACACAGCTTTGGGCCAAGTCACATCCACTGTGTCCCAATTTCTGTCTATAAAATGGGGCTGATCATATATGCCACCTATCTCATTAGCATCACAAGTAGACCATGAGATAATTCCTGCAAGTAGTTTAACTTCCTCAGTAGAGAGATGCTATATTTCAAGTATTATCCAGTATTTGTTTCAAGTATTGCAGTGACACTGGTTTCCAGAGGTCCATAAAAAGTGGTACCATTGTTGGAAAATGTGTTTTTTCAGCGGCTATAGGTGCGTGCATACTAAACAACTTGCATACTAAAGGAGAATGGGTTTGTGCCTCAACTTTGACTTAAATCTCACTGACAGCATGACCAATGTCATTTTTCAACTACAGGCCACATTTTAACATTCTATGGTCTATCAGTCAGGGTTTTAACAGAGAAACAGAACCAGTAGGAGATATGTTTATACCTATACATACAAACACATACATATATGTATACACATACGTGTGTGTGTGTATACAGTCGTGTCGCTTAACAACAGCAGGGATACATTCTGAGAAATGCATCATTAGGCAGTTTTGTCTCTATGCAAACATCACTGAGTGTACTTACACAAACCTAGATGGTATAGCCTACTACACACCTAGGCTATACGGTATACCCTGTTTCTCCCAGCATGTTACTCTACTGTATACAGTAGGCAATTATAACACAATGGTATTTGTGTAACCAAACATATCTAAACATAGAAAGGTATGGTAAAAATACAGTATTCTAATCTTATGGGACCACCGTCATAGATGTCAACTGAAACCTCAGTATGTGCCACATTACTGTATATTTGGAGGAAGGAGGGTGAGTTTGTGCAATTCACGCATCTGCAGGGCAGCTTGGCAGGCTGGAAACTCTTGGGCAGGAACTGACTCTGTGGTCCAAAGGTGGAATTTCTTCTCCCTCAGAGAAACCATGTTTTTTTTTCTCCGAAGCTATTCAACTTATGGATGAGGCCCATCCACACTCAAGCACAATCTCTTACTTAAGTTCACTGATTGTAGATGCTAACCACTACATAATGCCTTCACAGGGAGACCTAGATTCCCGTTTGACTGAACAACTTTGTGCTATAGTCTATCTAAATTGACACATAAAACTAACCATCTCTTGTGATGAAATTAAAAGCAACAAAAAAATTAAAAATAAATAAAAATGAGCAATCACTCATGGCTTCCTAATGATTTTTGATGCTTGCCAAGTTAAGCTATTTATGAGTTGGAAACAAAGATCTATCCAGAGAACTTACTAATTGCATAGGTGAAGCAAAAACTGATATTAATTTCATTATTTATCACTGTGTAGTTTGATAGGGCAAATAGGCTAATAATTAGATTTTTCATGGGCCTGAAACATTCTTATGCCTATATTGTAGGCACAAGGATATCTAGAAACATGTCCTTTCTTTGTAAGATTTAGATATTTTATAAGAAAATGCATGAAAGTTCTGAGCCTGGAGGAAACACCTGTTGTTTTGTGTGCCCTTAATATCCCTTCTTCTGGTAACACTGCCTAAATTTACCCTATATTTGGTTAATCTCTCCTTCCAGCAGGGAAGCCTGGCCAATCAGAACAAGTGTGTCCTGCTCCCCACAGGGATTGGGTCAGGATGGACAGATGACTCAGTCTGGGAATTCTTGCAGGAACCAGCAGAAAAGGGATGCTCTCTTTTAGCTGTGGTTGCAAAGATGGTAGAAAAAAACTCCTGGCATCGTTAGTGACTATCTTGCTGCAACAAGAGGAGGACCTGCCTAAGAAAGAAGAGCTGAGATTGAGAGACAGATTCTGAAGACGTGGTCTTAGTGACTGAAAACAGCCATTGTGAAGCCACGTGGATTTTTGGCTCCTTAACCAGTTATTCCCTCTCTAGGCTTAAACCAACTTGAGTTGTGTGTCTGTAACTTGGCACTCAAAATTTCTGACTACAGTAGGTACCAGTTCTCCACGTTTGCATATAGGAGAGTATTCACAATGAGTTTGTTCTGCGGGTAATTAAAAAGAGAAGCATTTCTTCTGCCCCCCACCCCCAGGCTCATTGTTCCTGCCAGTATCATGATGTTCCCAGCAGTGCCGTTCCCAAGGTGGGGCAGCCAAGGTCATCCCGGTTTTTACTGCTGAGAAAAGTGGAGGCCTGTCTCGGAGGTCCCAATCCCTCCACCAGCTGGCGTCTCTCACAGGCAGTCACTTCCACAAGAGACTCAAGGAAAGGAGGCGGGTCCATGTAGAAGGGACAATTGCTACAACTTAGATCAATCTCTGTGAACATCCAGACCTGTACCAGCTACCCCTAAGGTGACGTTAGAAGACAGGGAGAGGGGAAGGCAGGAAGAATGGGAAGAAGAGGGAGAAAGGGAAATGAGGATGAAAATAAACTTTTAGTAAGTTCCTACTACATGCCAGGCACTGTGACAAATACTTATCATATAGGTTATCTCATTGGATCCTCACCACATTCTATGAAGTTCTATGAAGTATTTCTATGAGGCACTTGTTATCCTCTTCATTTTAACCCATAAGAAAATAGTCCTATAGAGATCTAGTAACTTACCCAAAGTCACATACTTAAAGTGTCACTGGCAGAGCTGGAATTTAGACTGGATTGTCTGATTCTAACACCTCTGTGTGTGTGTGTCCCTTTCTTTGAAAGTATCCTTATGAGAAACCCCAAAATATAGAAGAGATAAAAGAGGCATGGCCACCTGCCTACCCATTCCTTTCTAACTCCTTGGAAGACCCTACCACTTACCCTGGGAAATGTGGAACTTCAAGAGCACACTTAGAAAAACACAGACAGGAATGGTGGAAAAGTTTCTTCACGACTGGGATTCAGCTCAGACATCAGGTTTTATTCTGTGATGGAAGGGGTAAGAAAAATGAGACAAATAACTTTTTTAAAAAAAGGAGCTCCCATCCCTTGTAGTTCCAGTACCTACCTAGAACCAGATATGTTGCAGGTACCTAAATAGATATTTGTTGAGTGAATAAATAAATGAATAACAACGGGTAATTAACTTGACTAGTTATAATAAAGGGAGACAGTTTGGCTTCCTGATTCTATTTCTCCTTGCAATAATAATTTTCCTCCAAATTCTACATTGGATTATGTTCTCTAAAGCCGGGGCTTTAGTGAGAGTTTGCTGGAAGACTGCCTGATAAGATATGGTCGACACATTATCTACCACTTGATCTCTGGTCTTCATATTAGAAGCAAGGATGGGGAAGGCTTTTAAGATCACTGGGGGAATACAATGTGGGAGTGGAAGGAAACGTTGAATAAAAAGCAAGGTAAGGATGTAATGTACTTTCTTGCAATTCTAATGATGACATCTATCAACCTGTTAAAGTTCCTGGATGCCATTCTAGCTTACACAATTCAAAGAAAAATGTTTCAGAGTGGCATTCCATGAGTTTGAATGCCACAACAGGTCTGAAACCAGCATTTACCGAGTTTCTCACATGGGCCAGCCACTGAAGTGGACAGTTTTTGTTTCTGGTATCCACTTACATCTGCCTCCATCAAGGTAGGCATCCAGATTTTGCATCAAGGGAAACACTCTCCCCACTCTTAACTTTCTCCTCTTCAGGCGATATTGCCTCCACTCCTGACTCCAGGACATGACTTATGCCTGCCGTACTGAAAGCGTGTGACAAGCGTTTTACATCCTCTCTCTTGCTTAATGACCTTAACAACCCTGTAGGAAAATCATTACTATTGCAATTTTACAAATAAGAAAACCAAGGCTTGGAAATGTTACATTACTTGTCCAAAGTCACACAGATGGTGTCAACTCTAATTTTAGAGAATGAGGATAATTCTTAATAACCTTGACTATTCAAAAGGTATGCACAAGTTGCTGTCAATAACTATTAAAAAGAAAGAGCTGTCTGGTATCTGAGGATGGATAACTTGACACTTTTACGTTTCCTCGATATCGTGTGTGTATATGTGTGTGTGTGTGTGTGTGCGCGCGTATTAGTTCATTTTCATGCTGCTGATTGATAAAAACATACCCAAGACTGGGTAATGTACAAAGAAAAGAGGTTTAATGGACTTACAATTCCATGTGGCTGGGGAGGCTTCACAATCATGGCAGAAGGTGAAAGGCATGCCTTACATTGGCAGCAGGCAAGAGACACAATGAGAAACAAGCAGAAGGGGTTTCCCCTTATAAAACCATCAGATTTTGTGAGACTTATTCACTACCGTGAGAACAGTATGGGGGAAACCGCCCCCATGACTCAATTATCTCCCACCAAGTCCCTCCCACAACACATGGGAATTATGGGAGCTACAATTCAAGATGAGATTTGGGTGGGGACACAGCCAAACTCTGTGTGTGTGTGTGTGTGTGTGTGTGTGTGTGTGTGTGTGTGTTCAATCAATGTCAACAGATGGTCTGGTGTACTGGTTAAGAGCTTGGACTCTGGAACCCACTCTCTGGTTCAAATTCCATCTCTATCTTATACTAACTGTCTGTAACCTAACCTTGTAACTGTGGACAAGTTAATAACCATGTCTTTGTTTCCTCATCTGAAAATCGGAATGAGGACAGTGATGGCATTTGCCTCATGGGACTATTGGATCAGCTGTGCTAACATAGTTAAAGTGCTTAGAACGTATCCAGCATCTGGTCAGTGCTACCATTGCTATTAATGTATGTAATGTTCCCCATATATCCAAATATCCAAAAGCTAAAGACATGTATTACTTGTATGCCCTGTTTGTTCGTACTGCCCCAAAAGGCATAATGAGGCAGATAATTGCCAATCATTTCTTCCCAAGCACAATCCTTCAATAAAGTCCTCGTCCTTGCTCAAGCTGGGAAACCATTTCAAGACTCACAGTGTATTGCCATTATTCAAACGTTAGAAATATTTTTCCAAGTGCAGTATCAGCTTCTAAGCAGGAGTTGTTTGGGAGCCAAGTCACGAGATACCATCACATCCATGTGGAGGAAGTGGCTTCATCCTGGCCCAGCGGGATCATGATAAGATCCTTTACTATCAGCAAGAATAATTGCAAAGCCTTCAGTGTGACTGCCATCTCACTGCATTGTGCAATTTTTAAAATTCCACTCACTCTTAAATGTTCCCTTAGTTTCTATCCAGGGTTCACTTAGCAGAACTGGCTTGTCAACAGGAGAGGCCTGTTTGCTTTCCAAAAGCAAAGTGCACTTCTGTCCCAGATCATCCATCTTGCCCCCACTATCCTCATCATCTTCATCCACATAGCCTCTCTCTCTGGAGAAAAAGAAATGGAGCCTGGCTTTTCAGCATCACGGAGACCCTTTTAGCATCCTGTGCTAATGCAAGGAATGGGCCTCACCAAATTCCCACTTTATCTAACATGAGATGGAGCAATCAGCAACCTAGCATTCTCTGATCAAAACAGCAAAGGCACCTGGCAAAAGGAAGTTGGTGAGAAGTGAAAGCAACACAGAAAAAGTTAGAGTAAGTTCCCCTCTTCCTCTATCACAGCTTGGGAACAATGTTCAAGCAGTGTGAACATCCCCACCATTGTTCAAACAGGATTTCTCTGGTCTGTTTTGTGCTACACACAAAACAATTCAATTGTTAAGTAGGCTTTGATTCTTTCCAACTTATGCCTTGTAGTGTCCACTGGGAGTCACTTAGTATAGGATGGATCAGCTACAATTAGGCTTAGCTGCAAATGGTTTAAAATCTAAATTAGCAGGTGTTTAAATTAGCTAAAAGGGCCAGCGCGATGGTTCATGCCTATAATCCTAGCACTTTGGGAGGCTGAGGCAGTTGGATCACTCGAGGTCAAGTTTGAGACCAGCCTGGCCAACGGGGCAAAAACCTGTCTCTACTAAAAATACAAACATTAGCCGGACATGGTGGCATGCGCCTGTAATCCTAGCTACTTGGGAAGCTGAGGCAGGAGAATCACTTGAACCTGGAAGGCAGAGGTTGCAGTGAGCTGAGATCGCACCACTGCACTCCAGCCTGGGCCAGACAGAGCAAGTCTCTGTGAGACTCTGTCTCAAAAATAAATAAATAAACTAAAAGTACTTTTCTACTTGTGTAACAAAAGCAGTCCAGGACCTGTATTGCTTTCCACAGGACAAGGATCTTGGCTCTTTCTGTCATTTTGCTTCATCGTGATTCACCTCATGGTCCAAGATGGCTGCTGGATCTCCAACCATCCTTTAAAGCTCAGCCAACTGGAAGGAGCTAAGCCAGAAGAGACAAAGAATGCATGTGAGCTTCCTCACAAAGAAATTTTCTGGAGGCTCCCCCGTGTCCTCCGCTTAATCTTCTTTATTAACACAGAGTTGCCAGAGACTAATGAATAGATATCTGGTTCAATGGACGCTACACAGAAACACACGCACATAATTATATTCTAGATCCTTGTCCCCAGAGCAGAACAGGTAAGCATCCTCTCTTATTGAGAGTCCTGCCTTAGCCAAACGTCCTCTCTTATGGTGCTGGACATCACCCACACAGAGGCTGGCAGCCTTTAGAGCCTGTGTTAAGGCTAGCATTTTCTTTCTTCCTTTCTCTATCTCTCTTTTTAAACTGTAAAATACACTTGCTTGCATCTCAAAACAGACTTTGGATTATTAGAGAAACTTAGTTTGGGTATTCTCTTCTTGAGGCTATTGCCTTATCTTTCTGATATTAACAATAATAATTTTAATATTGCTATCATGACATCCTTGGAATATTACCGTCATCATCTAGAAACCAGAAGAGGAGTACAAGATACTTAGACCACAATTCCTTGATACTGGCCCCAGCTGTCAGCCTCCGACTTGCCATAGAAAATCTAATGTCTCTGGTTCCTCATCTTTCTGAGTCTGCCAGTCTGGAAAGGAAAGAGGAGCCCAGCACTCTCTAGCTCTCTATATCACTCTTGAATCAAAAACAAGAATCCCAACTGTGTGGGTGGGCCTGGTGGACCCTCTACAGGGAGTGTTCAGCTGAAGGGTACTGTGTGGAGCATGTACAATGTTTAGGAGGACAGCCTTTATAGCCAGACAGGCTGTGTTCAGACCTCAGCTCTGGAATGCATTATTCTCTGCCTACTCCCTGCCTCCAATAAGATTCAACATATGTGTAATATCCTCCATCGCACAGGTCATGTACAAGGAGAAATGATTCCATAGGTGTGAAATGCTTAGCAACAAGTACTCAGTAGATGATGATGTGGTTAGTAAATGCTAACAGTTATAATTCACTTATACATTAGAGGATGCCTTTGTATGAAAAAATGAGCTAGACTGTATTTTTGTCCTTTTAAGGATAATTAGAGAATTAACTCAACAAATATTTACTATAAATTATTATGATTTTGCTCAGCAAAGCACCTCACCTATAGCTGTAAAAGAAAGAAAAAAGAGAGTAAGAGTGGAAGGATAGGAGGAAGAGAGGGAGGAAAGGAGGCTGAGTGGGTGGAGGGGCAGGCAGAGCTTGTAGCAGATGGTCGCGGAACATGTACCTGGGGACCCGAGGCCATCACTGAGAAAAAGGATACAAACCCTTTCCCGAATTTTTATGTATTTTTGATCCCTCAGGGAGGCTATTCTCTGCAACTAATGGCTATGTATGCATCCAGGCAGGGAGCAGGTGTTAATCTACACAGACTAGTTAATAGCCATTAACAGCACTTAAAAATCCAATAAACGGAGAAGGACGTTCTAGCCATCCATACCAGGACCAGAATTCTGCGAGGCCCTTCCTGCTGTGGTAGCGCTCATCGCCATCATCATCATCATCGGCAAGGATTTCTATTTAATAACCAATAGCACAAATATCTTCTGTCCAATGTTATGTGCTAGGCCCTGTGCCAGTACTGGAGATAAAAAGATTAATGAGATCTGATCACTGGGCTCAGAAGCCTACGGTGCAGAAGACAAAGCTGTCTGGAACTGACCACAGTATAGTGTGATGAGAACTATGTGAGGAAAATAAACTCAGTTCCGTGGGAGAGTGTGACTAATGGCCTGTTTTCTGCTTGAAATGGAACCTTTTTAACATCAAATATTGTTCAAGAGCAGAGGAAATTCACCAAACAAAACAGCCGTGGCAGCACAAAACAAATGAATATAACTAAGTGTAAAGTAACACGCCTCCTAAAAAACCTTATAAAACTTCAGGAGAAATGGCAGACTGGAGTCATGAAGTATAAGCTTTTTCCCGGGCCTGGCTCCAAACACATAGTGGATCAAATAGAGCCATTTTTTTAAAAAACATTCTAAGCTGAATTCAAAATAAAGACATGAATATTTTCAGGTACCAGGAAGGAAAAGGAGAAATTAAAAGTTACAGAGTTATATTTTAGCGATGATGCTACGGCTTCCAAAGGACAGGTGTTGGGGAGATCAGATCAGATCTAGAAATTCTGATGCCCCTGAGGGAGAAGATATCTGCCCTGAGAAGACTGGAGGGACTATTTTCTTCAAGAAGAAGAGACTGGAAACAAACATTACAGATGTCCTACCAAGCAGCAAGGAAATATATCTGCCCTTGGCCTTGGATGCACAGGACTGAAAAATTGTCTGCATGTGTCACGAATTCTCTGCATGTGTCATGAAGTCAACCTCAGGCAAGTTGTCCTGAGCAAGTGAAATCCACAGAACTCCTGGTAAAACTAAGCAAAAACTACTCTGTAGGGATACTTTCATATTCTAGAGATCTGAGAATCCCATAGGAAACAAAAAAAACAAAAACCACTGAAGATGACCCCACAGCCAAAATGGAAAAGCCATTGATAAGAAACTATCTTCCATGAGGGTGAGCCAGCAAATGCAACAATAGAATACTATAGGATGCCCCCAAAATATTGTACATGTCATCTTTATGTAGCTGAATAGCTACATAAGCAAACATGCTGAGTATGGCCCAATACAGAAAGGCCCTCCCTTGAAGACTACTACCACACTGGTGTTTGAATCTCAGCTTTTAGTAAATCACTCCTTCATATGAAACATTTCCTTCTTTCAACTGTCCTTTGAAATATGTAAATGCTCCTGGGAAAATTAATAAAAGTTAGCCTTTCTCAAATTTCAGTGTTTATTAGAATTATCTGTGGTGCTCTTTCAAAATGGGCCCTACCCCAGGAAATTCCGGTGTAAGTGGATTTAGGACAGAGACCAGGAATCTGTATATTTAATTAGTGTTGGTCAGGAGGGTTTATAGGGAAGGTGTTTCGTGCTGCTGAACACGTAGTCTACTCTAGAAACTGTTTAGGGGCTGGGAATTAACTTGGTTGGGAACTTTTAATTAAGAAATCTATATTTTGGGATAGAATAATTTTATTTATATAGAGTTATATACAGTCCATAGATATTCTTCTGTATACACACCTTCTAAGTCATATTGGTTTTTTACCTTTTATTTAAAATTAGATTTTAGCATATTTGTATGGCTATTGGTAGTAGAAGTGAAAAGAAAGAAGGAAGTGTGAAGGGGCTGTTGCTAAGTCAAAAATTAAGTAGTGAAAAGGAGGAATTATATCTTTTTTATGTCTGCCTCAGATACAGCTTGGGTGTCAGAGACCTTTACTACTTATCAAATGGGCTCTTCCATATTTCCAAACCCCCATGGTAGGGACATGTGACCAGTTCTGGTGAAAAGGAACGAAGCAGAAGTAACATCCATCACTTACAGAACTGCCCTTAAAAGCGGTGTGCAACCCTCTGGTACTGAGTTCCCCTCCTCCCAGCATGCAGTTCAATTCCCGGGAGGATTATCTGTCCCCAGTCAGGCCTGCGAGAGCCAGGAACGAACCTGTGTGATGTAAAGTTAGTAAAATGCAGCTGTGGGTGGGGAATAGGGAAAGGATGTTTGTAAGCACAGCACAGCCTAGTCTAACACTCTCTATGTGAAAGGAAAATCGGAAAAATTCTGTTAAAGAAAGCAGCCTCTCATGTCCAACCTAATGGTTATGGAGAGCAGTTCCTGTCTTGCATCCTCTTCATCCTCTTTAGCTATTTTCTGTCACTGTTTCCAGCATCTTTAAATTGGTAAAAAAGAATAGATAGCTAAGTAAACTCCAGGATACCACTTATTTATTTGCTTTTCTACAAAAGCAAACAAAGGATATTGCCTTATCCTTTAGGCAGAGTTCCATGAAGCTATGATATGCGTGTGTCTGTGTGTGTGTGTGTGTGTGTGTGTGTGTACACAAAATTTTACTTTTAACAAGCAAAAGATTCTGATATTTTTTATCCATGCCTGGGAAGAATAATACAGGCACTTGCTGGCAATGTGCACATTTTACTGACCTTTTTGAGTTCGTTTCCTTTTGGAGTTAAGAGAATAACAGAGCCAAGCAGATGTCCCAGCCACTCTGCAGCTGCTTGATTTACAATGTGACACCAAATTTATGAAGCCAGTTGGGGGACTCCATGGCATCCTATGTTTCAGGAAGGGAAATTCACAGGTTTGAGTCAATCCAGGTTCCGTGCAGTCAAGTGCTCTGCACTGGGAAGTTACTGTGAGGTCCCCAAGGCGTAGCTATGGAAGCCAAGAAAGAGGGCAAAGAATGAACAGAAAGCAGTGTGCTCTCTTCCTTGCCAGGGCAGATGGGCGGGTCAGGAGGAGCAGGAGGCATGGAGAGGAGCCCATGAAGGAAGGAAAGAACCCCTATTTTTTAAACTGATCGTGTCTCCTAGGTTTGCTATCAACTCTCACTCCAACATGGGTAGAATTCAGGAACCATTTTTACCACCATGAAGGAACACCTGCCCTGGGGTTCATGCAAAACATTGAACCATTCCTTCCACATGCTTTCGACCCTTATTGTGCTCACAATAAAAAGGCAGGTCTCTGTGGGCTGAAAAGTGGTCTGGTTTGGAGATTAGTGAGCTAAAGAGAACCAAATAAAGTTTGACAACATCAGGGTGGAGGACCTATCCTCAGGCAACACACTGAGTAATTTGTAATAATGTTTCAGTACAGGAACTTGCAGTCACCACCTTATCAACCTATTGTTTTCTGTTGCAACATGGAAGAGCATGATAACTGCATTTTAAAAGATATCTTTACACTTCTCTTTTACTTTTTAAAAAAATTACAAGATCATTGACCATGAAATTTTCCAACTGCCCTCATAAAAAAAAAAAAAGAACTCAAGTTTCCAATGATCAAGAGGAGAAGGTATTTGGGGGCACTATGGGAAAGGCAGTTTTAAACACCTTGGCTTTGAGATACTAATTGAAATATCCAATGGCAGATTAACAGATTTGGCTACATAGAAATTTAAAATTCTGTATGACAAAGGAAACCACAAATAAAATTGAAAAACAAGCATGCCATTGGAGGAAAATATATACAATGCACTAAATAAAGGATTATCTAAACTATACAGATCTCCTACATATCTATAAGAGGCCCATATCTCAATTGTTAAATGAGCTAAGGCTATGAACAGGCAATTTGCAAATTTGCAGGGGAAATACAAATGTTAACAAATAGATGGCGAAATGTCAATAAAAATATGATGAACCTTATTAGTAATAAAAGAATCACACATGAACAATCAGTTTATCAATTTTTTGCCCATCAGCCTGACAAAAAGTAAAAATATTGATGATTTCAAATGTTGAAGGTGCTATAAAGAAACAAACATTCTCATTCAACATGGAAGACGTGTACATTTTAAAGCCTTCTGTGTGTAGAGGGGAAGCAATTTTGCAAGAGTTATCACAATTTTAACTGTGCCTATACTCTCAGCAATTTCATTGCTACCAACATATCCTAGAGAAAAACACATGTGCCCAAAGAGCACGAACTAAGATGTTCTTGGCTGCTTTGTGTGTAATAGTGAAAACTGGAAGCAATCCAAACATCCATCAATAGGGCACATCCATATAAAGGAGTTTTAAAGCGCTGTCTCAACAGGATGTAGTAGATTTTTATATGCTCATATGGGAAGATATCCAAATCAAAAAGCAAGCAATTGGTAAAGTATGTGAGCTCGTTAAATTGCATAGAGAAAGTACTGGAAAGACAACCCACCGGACTATCAACGTTGGTTTTTTGGGGGTGGACAATGGTAATGGGAAGGGCAAAGGGGTTATTTTTACACCTTATTTCAACTATTTTCATATATTCTTCACTACAAAGAATTTCAGGTGACAGGAATTTGACGAAGTTAAAGGCAAGAGAATCCATTTGACCTTGTTGCTTAAAGAGGCAGAACAGTGCAATAGTTAATATCATGGACTAGAATTAGACTGCCTGGTTTTAAGCCATGTCTACTTTGCTCTACTAAATATGGTGAGACCTTGGGACAAGGTTCTGAACCCCTCGGATCTCTACATCCTCATCTTTACAGGGGGATTGGTAGTATCCCATAAGAATTGGTGTTACTATTAACACTGCTTTGCATGGCAGCAGTTTTGATTGCATTTCCTTCTCTAAAGGTCCAATCACAATAATCATCTTGGAAAAACAACTATTTGTATTAAGTTATAATATTTCATAAAAACTTACAAGATAGAAGTTTTGAATTATTGTAAATATTTAGAATGAACATATAGACAATACATGGAATAAATAATCATATTTATAGAGCAGAAAACAAATGTTAATTGATGTTGACACTATAAAAGAAACAGTTTTTAAAGTAAAGACAACCAAAAGAGGAATTAAAAAGAATAACTAACTGAAAAATGGAAAGAGAGGAGTTCACTTACATTAGTTAATTTAGGTTGCTTTAGCTAAAACATATCATACTGGAGAGTCCTATCTGAAGTTGATAAGTCCAGAAATAGAGATATAAGCACTTTATTGAATGTATAGAGCTAGGCACCAGAAGCACCAAAAAATAAAAGATCCAAAAAAAGTTTTTTAAAAGGAGAAGGATCAAGAAAGATTTTGTTTTGTAACTGATTCCTGTCCATACAATTTGAATTTTATAATGTCATGCATTATATTCATGATACCCCCCAAATAAGGGACTCTTGTTATACTAGGAGCTTGGCATGTCTTTATGGTGGATGGTGATTGCATACATATTCATTTGATCGATAATTATACCCAAAAAACTGGTAGCAGTTGTTGTCTCTGGGGAAGGAAATTGGGTGGCTGAAGGACAGTAGTAATGTAAATATTTTCACTGAATTCCTTTTGAATTTTTCAATTTTGTGCAATGTGCCTGAATCACCTATCTCCCAAAATACTAATTTTGTAAAGCTTGTCTTTTCATTACATGGCCCCATCTATTAGGGTAGAACACTGAAACTTCCAAAAAACTTCCAAATGAAAAATGTTACCAGGGCTTACCACTGGATCAAGTTTCTGTGCCCTGACTCACGGGGTCTCCTCTCTCAGTTGCACCTGAATCCTAAACCTGAGCAACTTCTGGGCATTCCAGAAAGAACAGACTGCACCACCTTAGCGAGGGCTATAAATTCTCATTTGTCCTGTTTAGTTTTGCAAAACATTATCAAACAATGAAAATAACTTACCTCGTTTCACATTTTAGTTAATCGACAACTGGGGATAGAGACTAGTCCAAAGCAATCCATGTGACTGGAGACTCCGTGGACTGGTGGCTGAGCCCATGACTTGCGGCAGAGTTGCCTGGATTACTACCCAGCTATGTTAGACGTGTGTCTGTAGACATGAAGACTGTAGTCACATGTCATTTGGAAGCATAGCTAATCACTATCACAACTTTAAAGCAGTAATGAACATAAACAGAATTTCAGGATACCTGCAACTGTAGTAGTATATGAAAATACTAGCATCACTTCTTGGCCTTTTGGCTAAGATTAAAGTTAAAATATTGTTGACTTCTTTTGCTGGCAAATTCTGGAGTCACAGGTACTGAAAATATTAATGAAAAAATACATAAAATCAATAAATATAATTTATTGCCTACATTCATAATTGAAGAAAATGCTGTATTTTAACTAGAGACTAGTGAAAATAAATATATAATTGTTCCCATCCAACATCATGGACACCTGGTATTCTATCTGTGGACCCCAGGTGATATTCCCTGATATAGATCCAAATGTATCCCCTAATTATAAATTCTGTTTGAGATAGCCTGATTGGTCTGAAGCCATACTTGAAACTGAAGCACATTTTGGGAGGGAAGTCACATATCAGGCTAGAGAAGGTTCCAGACCAGAGAGTATTCCATATTGCCTCAAAGTCTAATGCCTTAAAATTCAAAAGAAGAAATCCAGACTTCTAGAGAGAGTACCTGGGATGGGTAGCGTATTTCACAGTTTAAAGCAATTAGAATTGTCATTATTCATTTTAGCTCCTTAAAGTGCTAAGAGATGATCAAAGAAAGTTAGAGATATTTTGACCTTTTGATGAAAATGTACTCCTTTCGCTAAATGGCCTGTTTTATGTTATGTGCACAAAGATGCCAATTAATGTGACAGTCTGTGTACCTTTTAAAACATGGCTTCAAATTATTTGGCATTATTCCCATAAAGAGGTAGGGTCTAGGTACCCTCTGCTTAAATCAAGGCAGGCTGACAACTGTTTTGACCAATAGCATTCTACCGAAGTGACACCATGTGACTTCCAATGCTAGGTCGTAAAAGGTTACAGGGCTTCTGCCCCATTTGTTTAAAATACTTGCTCTTGGAGTCCTAAGGCACCATGTAAGGAGTTTGACTATCCTGAGGCTGCCATGCTGTGAGGAAGCCCAAACCACATGGGGCAGCCATTTGGAACACTGCAGGTGACAATCCCAACACTCCAGTCTTCACAGATATGAGTAAAGGAACATTGAGATGATTCCCTTCTCCAGTCATCTGAATTGGTCTGCAGATGTTCAAGCCTTTCTTTTTCCTTTTTTTCTTTTCTTTTCTTTTCTTCTTTTTTTTTTTTTTTTTTTTTTTTTTTGAGGTGGAGTCTTGCTCTGTCACCCACGCTGGAGTGCAATGGCAGATCTCAGCTCACTGCAAGCTCCACCTCCTGGGTTCACGCCATTATCCTGCCTCAGACTCCCAAGTAGCTGGGACTACAGGCACCCACCACCACGCCAGGCTAATTTTTGTATTTTTGTATTTCACCATGTTAGCCAGGATGATCTCCATCTCCTGACCTTGTGATCCGCCTGCCTCGGCCTCACAAAGTGCTGGGATTACAGGAGTGAGCCACCGCGTCCAGCCATTCAAGCCTTTCAGCTGGGTACCCAGTCACCAAGAAGCAGAGTTAAGCCATCCCTGCTGTGCTTGTCCAAATTCCTGACCCATAGAACCCATCATCTTAATAAAATGATTGGGTATTTTTACACCATAAAGTTTTGAAGGAGTCTGTTACACAAACAAAGAAAACAAAATATAAAGTCCAGTATCTAAACAGAAGGAAGATGGTAGAAAGACCAAAATGGTCAGCATACAGACATAGTGACCAGATACCAGTATCAATTTAGCAAAGCATCCCCATCCAGGAAGCACTCTTTATATCCACTAAATTGTTGTTCTAAAGCAATGCATTAACCACACACCTGGAGCTACGAAGCCAATTGCCTACAAGTACTTCTTAAGTAATGCAAATGAGATCAGTCAAGAAAAAGAAAAATCATGAGTAAACCCTAAACCATTAGAAAAACAGTAGAGAAAAGATGATAGTAGCTGAGATGACCAACTGTCTACTCAAAGCCATGCTCCCTTTTCTATAGATAGTTGTTGCTACAAAGTGGCTGCATGGAATACTTTTTATAGCTGCCTTGAAGCTGAGTGGGACCCTTAACTAGTTCTTGCCAATAGAATATGAGCAAAATTGTTGCATGTTATTTCTGAGCCAAGGCAATAAAAAACTAACCCTTCTCCCTCTTCTCTTCCCTATCCACCAGCTGCATACATAGGCCTCCACGGTTCAGACGGCTGAACCATGAGATGGAAAATGCCTTTAGCACCTAAATTATTGTATGGAGGAAAACTATCCACCTACCAGGAACCTTTGTGTTGTGTTGGACTATTACATAGGTAAGTGGGTAAGTGATATACTTCTATATATTAGATATTGAGCCACTGGAATGTCAGGTTTTATTTGTTACAGCAGCTAGCATTTACCCTAAACAGCAACAATAAATAGCAACTCATACTTGGCCTCAATGTCAAAAGAATACTAACTCATGATAGACTATGGAAAACTAAAAATAACAGTCCCAACTCAGATCCAGCTAATTCTTGTCATGTGAGAGAGGTTACAAATCCAGATTTTTTTAAATATTGAAGTTCAACTCCATTTAAAAAAATCTCAGTGAATCCAGCACAAAACACACATTCAAGTCCATTTAGCCACACTGCATTTTCCTAGCTTTATACCAAGATTGGTGAGACCTCTTTATAATTTTGGTTGTATGGCAGAGTGTATGGTCTGAATGTTTGTGTACTCCCAAAACTATATATCAAAATCTAATAACCAATGAGACAGTATTAAGAGGTGAGGGCTTTAGGATATGATGAGGTCATGAGGACTCCACCCTCAAGAGTGAGATTTGTATACTTACAGAAGAGGCTTGAGGAAACCTGACTGCCCCTTCCACTATGTGAGGATGCAGCAAGAAGCCATCATGTGTGAAGCAGAGGGCCCTCACCAGCCACAGACTCTGCTGGTGTCTTGACCATAAAGTTCCCAGCCTCCAGAACTGTGAGGAAGAGACTTCTATTTTTATAAATTCCTTGATGTAAGGTATTTTGTTGCAGCAGCTCATGCAGACAAAGACACAGCGCTAACTACTATTACAAATCAATCATACCATACCAAACTTTTATCCTATCTGCCACATACTCATCAAGTTACATTTCAGGACAGCTCATCCTTCCTCAAAAGCCTTCATTTCAACAAGATGAAGTTTTCCTTTTTAGCTCAGCATTCAAGGCCTTCCAAAGTCTTACCTTAACCCAATTTCCTCAGTGTCTTTTCCAACTGCTTCAGACACTTTGCTCTCCCACGCACTTTCTCAGCTTGGTGCTTTGCTCAGGCTGCTCCCTGGACAGTGCACAGGGATCTCTGCCTCTGTTGCTCAAAAGCAACCTTAATCAATACATAAACAATTGGGTGTGGCTGTTTTACAATAACACTTTATTGATGGACAATGAAACTTGGATTTTACATGTGTTATGAAATATTTCTTTTCTTTTGATTTTTTCTTATCCTTTAAAAATGTAAAAACAATTCTCAGTTTGTGAGCTAAACAAAAACAGGTGGCTAGCCAGATTTGGCCCATGGGTTATAGTAGGTTGCCGACTCTATTTCATGGCTATGTGACCCAATCCTGAACTGTGGAGGGGCTTTGTGGAAAACCGTCCTCCCTATTTAAAAGAGACATTGAGAAGAAACACCCTCTTTTGGAGCAGACATTGTCTTGTCTCCACCTGATGCCATCTTGGGTTATGAGAGACAAGCTGATGACTTAGCCAGGATGATGAGAGAGAAATGAAAGATAGAAGAATCCCTGCTCTCGTTTGAAATCCTTAAGCTGCCAAAACAACCCTGAAACCACCTGACTCCAGACTTCTTTTTGTAAGACAGTGAATTTTCCTCATTGCTAATGCTAGCTCTAGCTGAATGTTTTGCAGGGATGTTACCAAGTAGAGGGGATGGTGGAGAAAGCCTGCCTTGAGGGAATGGGGTAAGAGAGTGCATGGTCCATAGAGAATTTTAAAACAATAGTAAAACCAACTTGTCTGCTTTTTATTATCACTATGCACCAACAATTCTAAATCATGCCAGTGATAAAATACTCACCTTCGTCCAGGCCAACCACTTCCATCATGCCCAGCCCCCAGCACCTTATAAACATTTTGCTGAAATGTTGAATAACCCATGACCCACCCACATGCACAAAAGGACACATATGAACTCCTGCCATAATGAGTCATGTTATAATTACTTCTACTGGCTTAAGGAAATGAGGAAAAGTCTTAGGTTTCTGCCACTTGGCATTCCATAAACCCACAGTAGAGTCATGAGCCACCCCACCCCCATAGTAACCTCATGCAGTTTTACAAGCACTTCTCAAGACCTGGCTATGTTTACCAGGATGGTCCTGGAAAGGGGTGCATTTGCTTTAAGTAAAATGAAGAATCAAAATAAATTGTAGACAACCCACTTGAATTTACTCAAGAAATGTACAATGTCCCTGAATATGGTTTAGCTGTGTCCCCACCCAAATCTCATCTTGAACTGTAATTCCCATAATCCCCATGTCTCATGGGAGGGACATAGTGGGAGGTAATTGAATCATGGAGTCAGTTACCTCCATGCTGTTCTTGTGGTAGTGAGTGAGTTCTCATGAGATCCGATGATTTTATAAAGGGCTTTTCCCCTCCTTCACAACGCACTTCTCTCTTGCCTGCTGCCATGTAAGATGTGCCTTTGTTCTTTCTTTGCTTTCTGCAATGATTGTGAGGCCTCTCCAGCCATATGAAACTGTGAGTTCATTAAATCACTTTTTCTTTATAAATTACCCAGTCTCGGGTATTTCTTCACAGCAGTACAAAAATGGACTAATACATTCCCAAAATAAGAAAATTATCTCAATGTAGATAAATGTGTCCAAAGAACCCAGGATTCAGAAGCATATGAAGTGGGGGTTCATGGGCAGCTAGAAGTGGGCATGGCTTCTACACCACCTGCATCCCTTCTGCTGACTCTGCTCTGGGGCTACACACCATTTAGTCAGGGCTATGATTTAGTATATCCTAAAGCCATTTTCTATAGGAACTGTGTGGACATGGATTAAACACTGAGCTTTGATTTTTATCAAGGTTTTTTCTCAGCTGCATTTTCTACTGTACTACAAAATCACATGCACAGGCACTCACACATACACACACACAAAGACACAT